ATAAGCCTGAACTTATAAACATTTTCACTAACAAACATTAACAGTATCTAAAGCTGCTGATAACAACATAATTACTTTGTTAATTGTGTTGGTTTAAAAAAAATGTGATACTATATCAATTGTTTGTCCGCTCATGTCCGTAAACTCATGAAGTCAAAATCCAGATTAGAATTATTATGTACGATTATATACCCCGAAAAAAATTTCTTTTTATTTCTTTCTTTATTATTTTTTTTTCACTCACATGATAATTATTGGAGGTCGTAAATAGTTTTCCCATACATTCAATCAGGGATGTTATATTTCCGATCCTTAAATATCATTCAGCACGGCAGTATTTCTGGGCTTGTGATTTTTTTAGTTCTAACTTATTATTCGGCTAGTTTCCAGTTGGGTGATTCCAGTATTCCTCACTTGAATACTGTTAAATCAATCTTAGCATATGGGGCATGGTTTTCAAATTTGTCTTTCGTCAGCTTATCTGTGATATGCAGGCTTCATTACATTTGATCGCCTTTTATAATTCCATCCCATTGTTTTCTCGGGTAGGACACACGCATTCGATTACTCGGGGACCATACGCCGCTTTTAATGGAATGGCACGAAAGTGTCACTTTGAAGGTTCCATGATAACTGACGTATGAACACATCTGCGGATGCATCTAAAGTCACACCATAACCATGATTAAAAGTTAAATTCTGCTTAAGCCGGTGCTAGGTGGCATGGACAGTAACTTTCACTTCCCATTACCGCCCATGAACAGGCTCACTCAAACCGAGCCTGCGACATTTACAATTTTGTCGTTTTGTGCCTTCTCAGGGACTTTTTATTTCTCTCTATTATTTATAAAGCATACATAGTTAGCAGGGCGTTTTGATCTATCATTTCATGCGCGCTCCAGCAGTGTCAAAGTATATGACATAACCGGATCCACAAAATTTGTTTGTATGAAATCAAAAGTGAATTGGTTGTTTGTTCAACATCATCATCCCGAAGCAATTATATTAGGTTAATTTTAAAACTGAAGTGCCTTGCCTCTGTACAGGTTTACATCTTTTTTTTGGGTTATAATTCATATTACTATCAAAACATAACTTACTCGTTACATTTAAGGAAAGTGTTAAATGATAATAAACTTATATTCAATGATCAATATTTTAAATTAAATGTGTTAGCAACATTATGATAAATTACAATATCTGCAAACAAATCAGTTATGCACCCTATCGTTAAGTATCTTTGAAATGCCTATACAATATATCCGTAATAGATTGTCCAGCGAAAATGTAAATGCATGAATAATGAATGCTTATAAGCGTATTGTAAACGCACTCACGTGATTCTCACCAAAAAGGGATGAAAAAGCCGTTTTTTATGTTGGATCTATAAGGTAATTAGAAATAAAAGAGCATTTAACTAAAATGTATAATCTTTAGCATTGCACATCTAAATCCGAAGATAGAGAGTCGAGTTGGATAGTATAGGCATGTATTATTTACACATATAAATTCATAATACATTCTTATCTTTAATTAAATAAAAAAACAACAACAGCAACACATATTTGAATAATTAGTATAGTTTTATTGCAAATAAGATTTTTTGGTTAATTCTCATATTGAGTAAAGTATGTAAATTGGTTTTCTTTTTTGAAATTATTTTACTTTGCAGTAACTCAGTTGATGTCCTTTGAATCTCTTTGTTTTAGTTTGATCATTTACGTACGCATATGATTACCTTATTTATAAATACATGTATATAATTAAATATAAGTTATTCATTAATTAAAGAGAACAACTTAAGAAATAAACAAACAAACACAAATTATCTTCAAATATCTTAAAATAGTTTTATTTTACAAATAAATAGTCTGTGTTCTTGTTATTTCTTTTTCAGAATAAAAATGTCCTACAACAAAAATGGATACAGCCATTCAAACAATTATATCCACGCATGCGGAGCAGCCGAATTCGCGATCTATATCTTCGGAGGGAAAATTTAATTTTTCAAGTATTTACATTGACCTTCATATGTTGGATTTGTTGTAGGAAGGACAACCGCCGAGATAGAATAATTATACGCCCCAATAACTCAACCGTAATATGGTGAGTTATTTGATATTAGTTTAATGTTGTTAAGAAGTTTATTTTTTTATCTTTAGGCACATAAAAGTTGATAATATATTGTGATATTGGTAAATATAATAACTTGCAATTATAATATAAAGATATCATTATCAAGACTATACAAAGGTCCATGTTCGTTACACATGGTATGGCAATTATCCGAATCTCACATCAGCTGCTAATACAGACTCTTAGACAACTGTGTAAGGCGCTTAATGAGACATCATATTAATTCTTCATTTATCGGTGTCTTCTTATAGATATGAAAGGATAACGGAAACTATGTAATCTTCAGCGTGCGACTTGTCTGACTCCTTGGGGGTTGGTGGTGTTGGTTGGGTTGATGGTGGTTGGGGCTGTTTAAGACATTTATGTCTTGCAACGGATTGATCAGCAAGAATGAATGCCCTATGATATCATTATAAAGTTTAAACATTTCAGGACCGGCTATGAACTGTCCAAGTTGTCAACATATCCAAAGCCAAAATAATCTGCCATCTACACAACTATGTGGTAATGGTCAATGCACAAGAACAGAAACATCAGCAAATCAGGGCTCTGTTCCCGAATACAGAAACACGGCACCACAAGACACGTGTTGAACACCATAGAAAAGATTTACACGACATTATCAGCTGAACATGTAAAAGTATCGACAAGTATAACTGCATGTAAACAATTTTAATGAACACAATCTTGCAGTATTTGTAACATACCAGAAAAAAATATGTGTAATGTTTTGTTAGGCAACCTCCGTAGAATTAACACGTTCATTTTTAATTAAGATCAAAACCCTGATTAAACCAAATGCGCAAATATATATAATGAATTATTATTTTTGACTACTCGCAATGTTTGAAAATTGAAAATACAAAGCCTCAGAAAGCTACTACAACATAATATTCCGTACATATTTATGTTTTGTTTTTATAATTAACAAGATTCGGCTACAAACTGTCATATATTTAAAGGTAATTAAATATCATAAGAGGCCGAATGACGTGAACGGCACAGGACTGTATTCAATCCCATACGCGTGTCAAACTACTGATGGCCTCGTTAAATTTACAATATCATTTTCACACCTCTGCAAGGATATTTTGGATTCACTTAACAAGTATTTATACCGATGCGTGTACATCTCCGAATTTCTGAACTAATTGGATGCACCAATTTTTCTAAATCTCAAAAAAAGTTGATATTAAATATTTTTTCCGAGTCATCGATATCAATTTTGTTTACCGATATTCGGACGTTCGATCGAGTACTCGGTTAACCGGTTACTCGTTGCCATCCCTAATATATATGTATAGAACAAACGTTGTGTAATTTATTGCCAAAATCTTCTTTTAACATTATTTTACCTCTTTGATACATAAAAGGTGTTGTCGTTTTGTATCTGCAGATGTGCAAATTCATCATTTCGCTTTTTACTACTACATAATTGTATCAAATGAGCATTTGGAGTTACCCGGACTTCCATTTCAGCGTTTAGATAAACTATTCCATTCAGTTCGATTTCCTTTTTGTTATTGTAAGAAAAATAGGGAAGAACGGAATTCCTAATGAACGCTCAAAACAACAAAAGTGAACATGTTGCACGTTCGGTTTGATTGAGCCTAATCCTAGACGGTATTTGCCATCCACGTATCTAGCACCGGCTTAAACATAATTAAACATTTAAACATGGTTATTGTAATACTAAATATCTGAGATAATGATAAGATGTCATGAATAAAGCCGCTATGTTAGTTTTTGTCTACCTAGATGTTAACAAGTTTTATGGGACAGCATTATCTTATTCCTGCATTTTGTTTAAAAAAAATGCTTTGATAGATTGTCGCAAGCGGAAAAAAAATCAAGTATTTGCTTTTGATTACCGCAACCTTATCTTCTGATATGTTCGTGTTCAAACAAATTTTATAATCGTTTGGTTATCTAGCAGTCTTCATGTTAGTGTCAGTGTGGAATTATCTAAACACTTTTTATTAATATTTTCTATAATTTGGTGGATGTTGACTTTCTATATATTACAGGAAAAAAACAAAGGTATTAAAATTTAATACCAAATTTTCTATTTCCATTTTTAACTCAAAGGTGATATTAATAGTTTGCGTATGTCCAAAACAAATAAGATGATATTTTTTTCGTTTGAGAGATGAATAGAATACATTTTCACGAAACATTATTCAATTTCATATATTTACAGGAATATTAATGTGCCGAATTTTATCATGTTAAGTTAGGATATATTCCACATTTCACGAAAAACTAAAAATAACCTTTTTATTTAATTATACCTTCAAGAAAAAAAGGTTGGTTATGAATACACCAATTTGCTAAGCAGTTGCAATTATACAGCGCGCAGTAATACATTGATTATATAACATGTATAAGTACGTGACACGGTTTGAATTCAGTACCAATTAGTCACTGTCTTGTAAAAATATAACCAGATAATTTCCGATGATAAAATTTATAGCTGATGCTACTGACTGCAACAGAGAAACACCTGAGAAATTAGTCCAAAGAATAAATATGAGTTTTTGGCCTACTTTCATATTTTTAATATTTGTTTTTATTTCCACAGATAAAATGATAAAAGGCAAAATATACCTCAGAAATGTTTGTATTTATTTCCCTAAATCTTTTTTAATTTAGGTGTAATGTTATATTTTCAAAATTATTAACTGACTACTACTTATTGGCCAAATGCCTGAACAATCTTTTGCTTTGTTGCTTCTTCGCAATTAGTGCAGATACAGTCATTATATTATAATGAATTTCTGTCGTTTTTGTTTTATTTTTTGCAGTATAAAAATGTTCAATCACCGAAATCTAGAAAACTTAGACAGTTTTACAGATGACTATGGCAACCGATGTTGGGCAGCCGAATTCGCAATTTATGTCTTCGGAAGTATAATAGTATTTCTTCTCGTGGTAGTATTGATCTGTATATGTTATATTTGTTGTCGCAAAGACAGTCGCCGTGATGGAATGGCTATTTATCCGATGGCACAACCGATGCTACAACCACAACATGGTGAGTAATCTACGGAACAATTTTACGTTGTTTAAGTTCGATCACAGAATAATTTCGGGGAATTGTTTGCCATTCACTTTATGTGAATAATTGTAAAACTTTAAATAATTTGAATAACCTCTAAATTAAGGATATGTTGGAAACAGCATTTGACTACATTTATTAAATAATGAAGACATTCAATGTCATTTAAATGGTAAAAGTTTATGAGGAAACAGTGAAGACCGTCCAACAGCACAAACTGACTTTTATATAAGTTTTATCATAGTTTAGAGACTTTATTTTTGAAAACGTGTTAGAGTTAAATCGCAGATATTCGTTACCCTCTGGCCTCACTCACTGTCTGTCTAGAGTATGATCGTTGATTGGTGTTTACTAATTGCGACGACAAGGAACGAGATAACGGTAGAAAGGTCATATACCGATGCTCTTACATTGGATATTTTTTTCTAGGGTTTAATATTATGACGGCATGAAAAGTGTTTTTCCTATTTTTGTATTTTTTCCTATGATACAAAAGAGTAAGAACATAGAATACTCGTCAATCTTACGCCCCCTCAAACAAATCAGAAAGCTTCGTGTTTCGGTGCTCTTACCATTACTTACAGTATGGTTTAATTGCGCATGTTGATGGACGGCATTTGTAGGTGCATATTAATGTCTATTCCCCCTTTGCTGTTATAACCGAAGTAATATCACTTTTAATCTACGTAATCAATACTTCACCATCATTTCAAGAACGTTCTGTTTGCGAACATGCGTCAAAGGTTTTTTTAAACTGTTATAATCAACTACATATGTAAATCAATAGCTATTTTTGTTTTAAATTATTTCAGTGTGTTAATACGAAATTTTGCCCCAAAAATTAAATATGTGTGATCTTCAATGCAAACAGTAGTCTAATTGTGGAACTGCTTGAATATTTCAGGAAGTGTCATGTACGCACCAGGCCCGAACTGCCAACATGTTCAGTGCCAACAACAACATCCGCCTGCCCCTGTTTATGCCAATGATCACCGTATGATAACCACGCAACCATCAAATCAAGACCGAGTTGCCGAGACTCAGCACATTTAAAATAAGCATCACAGAATACTTGTGCGCTACTCGAGTAAAAGGTATTATAGACGAAACAGAAAGCATAAATTCTTTGAAGGACATTAAAACAAAACATTAAACATTTCGAAACATTCAAAAGTATGAATATTTTGATCATATAGACAGTAAATTGTGTACATACGAGAAGCTATTTTTTGTTTCTTTTTACAAATTCATTTTTTATTTTATTATTTAAGAAATTTTCAAATAAATGTTTATGTATCAACCAATAATAATCTTCCCTTTCAGAAATGTTTAAAGTTTTGATATTGACAAAACATTGTATACCTAAATAAAACATAGCAGTACACTCTTAATCAAACATATATATGATAAAGGTTGCATTAGAATGTCATTTTTAATCAGAACATATCGGATTTCATAACAAGATAGTTATGGTTTCTACAAAGGTAGTGCTAAGTAGTAGTAACTATTACAGTTACACCTTTTAAACGGCATACGCTTAGTATAAACATCAATCAATTCAACCATGATCTAAACTGATTATGAGTGTCATTTGACCGATCAAAATCGGGCCCGCTGAACATAAGTATATATAATATTACGTCAAATTTGACGACATCAGACAAGCTTGCTGAAAGTTAAAGAGCTGGGTTGTTGATACGGATTGCTTGATTTTATTATAAAAACGTCAGCGTAATTGATTAATCTCCTGTTTCAGAGCTAACAAAAAATTATATTTGTATAGCGATAAGGTTATTGTTTGCCTGCAAATAATCACGTTTGAATCGACAGATTTATCTTATTCAAGCAATGGTTTGATAGATTGTCGCAAGAAAAAAACAAATGCCAGTATTAATTTCTTTATACCGTAACCCTACATTTTGATAGGTACTTTTGTTTTATGTGCAGTTTTCATGTTATCTTAAGAGCGGAATCACTGTTACACATATTCATTTGTATTATTTAGTGGATAATTGCTTTAAAAACGAACAAAAAAACATTCTTTTTTCACATAAACCGCGGCACAGGAGTGTAATAAAGCCATTTAATTAAAACGATATTACACTAGTGTATAACACTTTGACATGACATCATTTTCGCTAAATATAAACATAGCGTTAAAAGCGCGCTAATGTTGGCGTAACTCTATAGGCACGTCATTGAAAATTACTCATTTTAACAGTTTACTGTTCTTATTTTATATATGTGATCAATAGAATATTTGTGTAGATTCAATGTCAATTTATTGAACTCGTTGAATAAAACAATATTATGCTCGCCAGAGGCTCGCATAATATGATTTTATTCAACTCGTTCAATAAATTTAGTATTAAACTACACTCATTCAATATCCTCTATTTATATGTTCATTTTAAAACCAAATGTTAAATCAATATATTTGCATGTCCATAATGATAAAAAATAATTCAGATAATTGATATTTTTCTCTATATTTCTATTGAATTTCAAACGCTGATATTTTTGATTTTCTTATATTGTTATTGAATTAAATACGCTGTTTTTTTTCTGGTATTTTCCAGACTCATCTTGTCGTCCACGTTGAGATACACTCGTTATATTGAACTCTGATCTTAAAGAAGGTCTAACGCCACATTGTCTTCAATTGTGTTTTGTAAAACATGTACACAATGAGCAAACACCAAAAGAATTAAAATCACACCCGATTTAAACGGCATAATTTATACATTATATTAACTATAAGAAAAAGCCTTGAAGTCCTATGAAAAATGAAAATTTTAACTTTTTGATCAAATTTTCTAACGTGATCCTGTACATTTTGTATTTTATCATGAAATCAATACTTCACCTACATTAACAATACCGTTTAAATATTGTGCTTTAACTATTCAATTTTCAAGTTTGATCTTTTCACTTTAGATAAGATCCTGATTTATAAATGTTTTAGTAAGGAAATTTGAGTCACATGTAACGGTTTGCTTGGTTTGATTTATTGGATGCCTTTTTAAGTCGATAACAGAATTAAACTCCAATAAATTAACCTTAATACCATACCACACAATACCACCGATTTTATTTATTTATTATTTCAGATAACGTATTTTCTGCCTTTTTTGTTTTATTGTTTCAGAACAAAAATGTCCAATTTACCAAATTTAGGTAGCTACGGTAGAGCAGATAGCTATGGCATCCAATGTTGGGCAGCCGAATTAGCGATTAATGTCCTTGGGGGGATAATTGTATTTCTCCTGGTGATCATTTTGATCTATATATGTTGGATTTGTTGTCGAAAAGACAGTCGTCGTGATGGAATGTTTATTTATCCGATGACACAACCGATAATACAACCACAACATAGTGCGTAATCTACAGAACAATTTTACATTAAATTTATTGAAGTACAGTCGCAGAATAACATCGATGAAATTGTAAGGTATTCACCTTTTACCCACCGCCTTTTAAAATGATATCTGTTAATAATGTTAAAACTTTAAATGTATGATTTGAATAACCTTTAAATGAAAGATATTTTAGCAAACAACATTTGTAATGCATTTAAAAAACAATGATGCGTTATAGATACAATGTTACAAAATTGGTATTATGATGACACCATGAAGATCAGCCAACAGAACAATTTTTATAAAATAGTTGCAGTTCTAAATATATCTAAATATATGCAAGTACAATGGAAGTGTCTCACTTAATATCTTTTCTAGAAAGTATCTTGGATAATAAGATGTATATTATATCACATATCATAGCAAGATATTGTTTTCAATATATGTATGAAATTATGGTTAACACTTTCTGGTAATTAAAATTAAATAAAGTCTAACACCGTATCTTTTATAAACCTTACATGCTATTCAAATTGATGATAACATTCGACATTTGACTTCAAGTGGGCAGCAATACCAACAAAACAATAATAGGCATCCCTCCCCAATTAATATTGTTCTGTGCTGTAAAGAAATTTATACCTTTAGCCTTACTATAGTACTACTGTTTGAATGTTTTAGGAGGTGTTATGTACACACAAGGCCCGAGCTGTCAACATGTTCAATACCAACAACATCAACCGCCTGCACAGGTCCATGCTAATGCCCAAAGTACGTCTACAGCACAACCAGGAAACCGAAACGATGTCTCCGAGTGCAGAAATACAGCACCACAAAACACCTGTTTACCACTTGAGTAGAAAGAATTGTAGACTAATAAAAAAGAATAAATGATATGTAAGGCAATATAACTAATCGCTATTCTTGTCAACATTTCTAAATATTAAAGTGTGTGAACCATTTCTGCATATGGACAGTCAATAATGTACATAATCAACCTGAACTTTTTCACTTTCAAACATTAACAGTATCTGAAGCTGATAACAGAATAATCACTTTGTTAATTGTGTTGGTTTTAAAAAAAGTGATACTATAGCAGTTGTTTGTCAGCTTATGTCCATAAACTCATGAAATCAAAATCCAGAATAGTATTATTATGTACACCAATTTGTATACCCCGAAAGAAATCTATTTTGATTATATTTTTTGTAATTTGTTTCACTAACTTGATAATTATTGGAGGCCGTAAATATTCAATCAGGGATGTTATATTTTCGATCTTTAAAGATCGTTCAGCTCGACAGTATTGCTGTGCTTGTGGTATTTTTTAGTTCTTTATCTTCGGCTATTTCTAGTTAGATGATTCCAGTATTCCTCACTTCCTCACTGTTTAATCACCCTTAGCAGATGGGGCATGTTTTTAGAATTTGTCTTTTGGCAGCTTATCTGTAATATGCAGGCTTTATAACCTCTGATCTCCTTTTAAAATTCCATTTTATTTAGTTACACCTATTGTTTTCTCGTATTCTTTTACATGGGGACCATACGCCGCTTTTGATGGAATGGCACGAAAGTGCCACATTAAAAGTTTCGTGATGACTGCCGTATGGACACATCTGCTGATGCTTCTAAAGTCAAAATTTTACCATAACCATTATTAAATGTTGAATTCTGCTTAAGCCGGTGCTAGGGGACATGAACGGTAACTTGCACTTCCCATTATCGCCCATGAACAGGCTCAATCAAACCTAGACTGCAACACTGACAATTTTGATGTTTTGTGCCTTCTTCAGGGATTTTTTATTTCTCTCTTTTCTTTAGCATAATTACATAGTTAGAATAGCCTTTTGATCTATCGTTTCATGCGCGCTCCAGCATTGCCATAGTATATGACATAGCCTGTTGCATTAAAGACTTTTGTAAGAAATCAAACGTGCATTTGTTGTTTGTTCAACAGCATTATCCCGAAGCAATTATGTTAGGTTACTTTTTAAAACTGAAGTGCCTTGCCTCTGTACAGTTTTACATCTTTTTTTGTTTTAATTAATATATCTATCAAAACGTAACTTACTGGACAGTAACATTAATGTTTGAGATTACGTGAAAGAGTAAAATGATGAAAAACTTTAATTCAATGATCAATATCTTAAATTAAATGTGTTAGCAACATTATGGTAAATTACAATATCTGCAAACAAATCAGTTATAGACACTATCATTAGGTATCTTTGAAATGCCTCTTCAAATTATACGTAATGATATGTTTAATTTTGTTAGATTGTCCAGCGAAATTGTAAATGCATGAATAATGATTGCTTATCTAATCGTATTGCATTATTTTATCAAAACGCGTTCACGTGATATCACCATAAAGGGATGAGAAGCCGTTTTTATGTTGTATCTTTAAGTTAATATTATTAAATAAAAGAACGTTTTAACAAAATGTATAATCTTTAGCAGCGCACATCTAAATCGGAAGATAGAGAGGTGAGTTGGATAGTATAGGCATCTCTTTACACATAATTTATAATAAATTCATAATGCAATCTTATCTTGAATTAAAAAAAAACAGATTTGAATAATTGGTATTGTTATATTGCAAGTTCATTCTCATATTAATTGGTTTATCGTATTTTGCATTTTTTCGAATTCATTTTACTTTGAAGTAACTCATTTGATGACCTTTGAATCGCTTTTATTTCAGTTTGATGATTTACGTATGCATATGATTCCCTATATTTATCAATATATAATTAAATAATACTTATTAAAAAAGAACAACTTAAGAAACAAACAAACAAACTAACTAAAAAATATCTTCAAATATCTTGGTGCAGCTTTTAAACTTTTATTTGACGAATGAATTTTTCTACTTCTTTTTAATTCATTTTCAGAATAAAAATGTCCTACAACCAAAATGGATACAGCCATTCACACAATTATATCCGCGCATGCGGAGCAGCCGAAGCCGCGAACTATATCTTCGGAGGGATAATTTTATTTTTTCATGTAATAACATTCTGTAATGTTCTGTTAGGCCAATTTCGTAGATGATTTAACCAAATGCGCAAATATAAGATTTTTTTCAAACACACTTGCTATACATAGAAACACATTCATAAGCACATGCAATATGACGTCAAATTTGACGCCATTAAAACACGTGTGCTGAAAGTTTTAGTTGGGTTGCTTGATTTTATTATTTGACGCAATTTGTATAAACACAGTAACTGTTCCAGAAAGAAATGTTCATGACGTTGAAAAACTATCGTATTTATCAACAAGTGTTTTAAATGTATTAATACACACCAGTGAAGGTGAGAAGTGATAATCGTCTCTTAATGAATAATGACCATCGGGTCATTATTATTCAGCGGGCTGATTATTACAGGCCAGTCCTACTCTGCCTTAATCTCCTGTGTTATATCTGACAATATGTATATGTTAAATAAATATGTATATGAACAAACGTTGTGTACTTCATTGTCAACTTCTTCTTTTAACATATATTATTTCATCTCTTTGATACATGATAGGGTTTGGCGTTTTGTATCTGTAGATGTGTAAATTCATCATTTGGCTTTTTAATAGTACATAAAGATATCAAACGAGCATTTGGAAAAAGGGCATTATCTGAGAATATTCTTCTGCATCTGCATTTGGAGTTACCCGAACCTCCATTTCAGTATATAAATAAACTATTGCATTCAGTTCCATTTCCTTTTTGTCATTGTAAGTAAAATAAAGAAGAACGGAATCCCTAAAGAACGCCCAAAACGATAAATGTGAAACTGTTGTACGTTCGGTTTGATTGAGCCTGTTCGTGGACGGTACGGGAAAATGCAATTAAGCGTCCACTCCCCTAGCACCGACTTAAACAGAATTCAACATTTAAACATGGTAATGGTGAAAACCTGAGATAATAATAAGATGTCATGAATAAAACCGCTAGCCATGATTTATTTAACTTTAGCTTAAGTTTTTTTGTCTACCTGGATATAAGGAAGTTTTATGGGACATCGTTATCTTATTCATGCATTTTATTAAAAAAAAACATTGCTCTGATAGATTGTCGCAAAAATTCAAGTATTTACTTTTGTGAACCGCAACCTTATATTTAAATATGTTCGTTTTCAAATAAGTTTTACATTCGTTTGGTTATCTAGCAGTTTTCATGTTAGTGTCAGCGTGGAATCGTCTAAACAAATTTTAATTAACATTTTCTATAATTTGGTGGATATTGACTTTCTATATATTTTAGGAAAGAAAACAAAGGTATTTAATACCAACTTTTATATTTCCATTTTTTTTTAAATCAAAGGTGATATCAATTGTTTGCTTATGTCCATAACTTATACAAATAAGTGGATATATGTTTCTTTTGAGAGAAGAATGGAATATATTTTCAGGAAACATAATTCAACACAGTCAAGTTAAATGTACCGATTTTTTTCATGTTAAGTGAGGATATATACCACATTGCACGAAAAAAGAAATATAATCTTTTTATTCAATTTTAAACTTCAAGAACAAAAAAATTTATTACAAATACACCGATTTGCTACGCAGTTGCAATTATACAGCTCAGTTGCAATTATACATCGCGCAGTAATACATTGACTATTTAATTGCGTGAAAAGGTTAAAATTAAATTGATCACGGTCATCTTGATCCGTCTTGTAAAAATATAACCAGATAACCGGTGATGTAATTGATAGCTGCACCAGAAAAATACCTGAGAAATTAGGCCAAAAAATAAATATATGCTTTCTTTCATATTTTTTAATATTTCTTTTTATTTCCACAGATACAATGATAAAAGGCAAAATATGCCCAGAAATGATTGTTACAGTATTTCTTTCACTTAATCTTCTTTTTTTAGATGTCCTGTTATATTTTCAAAAAATTTAAGTTACTGTTACTCATTGGCCAAATACCTGAACAATCTTTTGCTTTCGTTGCTTTTTCGCAATTAGTTTAGATACAGTGATTAAGTATTTTGTACGAAATAGAGAGAAACCAAGAATCCCTAAAGAAAGCCCAACAAGACAAACTTGAAATGTTGCAGGCTCGGTTTTTGAAGTAAAAATAGTTCTTTCATTACATTTTGCTACTTTTATGGCACACATATTTTACATTCAATGCTACTTTCTTTAGGTTATGAGCGTCAAACATACTCAAAAACAATAATTTGAACGTAATTAAACTAATGTTTGCCCATTTTAAAGGAAGTAGAAGTTTATTTGTTTTTAGGCATAATGTGCCTTTAAAAGTAAACACGAGTTGTTTTCATATGAAAGAAAAAATGAAACAAACAAGAGCTGTCTGCGAGAAGCGTGGTCCATTTTTGTAATTGCTGGATAGCGGACAGGTAACATTTTCTGGGGTTACGTTATAAAAACAAGATATTTAAATTGTGCATGCAGTATTTAAAGTTAAGTTCTTTAATAAAGACATTGACAAAATTTTATTTAAATTTATAAGCATTCTTACAAATAACATTTTTAAACGTTGTCGATGAGAAAACATTATAATCTCTTTTTCAAAAGATATTTTAATACAACGATTTTGTTTGTTTGTTTGTTTGGGTTTTTGGGGGGTTTTCTTTTGTAAAGGAAAGCTTTGCTTAAATTTATTATCGCTTATCGCAACCTTCCTTTATTTTCTGTTCATGTTCAAATTTGTTTGAGTATCACACATTTATCTCGTGTTATCTAAAATACCGAACGACCCAATCAATTTACTTTTCAATTTGTTGTAGATTTTCTTCTAATGTTTGATAAGGAGAATAATTTTCATTTTAACAACAGAACTAGTATATTATCAATTAACGATTTTACAATATATTTCAGATTTCTATTCTTTTTCTTTATATACGTTTTCATTCACAGACTGATCATTCTTTCTGTAATTTCCTGTTCGGATTTCATGTTGAGGACCGCATCGTGATTCAATGTTATCTCTAAGAAGAAAATTCAAAGTTTTCTCGTCTTGTTGTTTCCTGACTTGATGAATATATTCTATCCTTATACATCATCGGAATAATTTAAAAGCATCAATTTACTCATGTTTAAAATTTACATCCGGATTAATTGGGTCAATTTTATAATTTTAATTTGCAAATTGAATTAGTTTATTCTGTCACACATTTAAACTTTGCAAATAGGATTCTTTGATTTTTTCACATATCTTGCAAATTCGATTTTGATTGGTTTTACTAAGAAGTCCACCCTTATCTTTCGTTTGATCTTCCAAGATCAATTTCTTTTGTCCACTCTTACAAACAATGTCAATAAAATACTTTTGGGATTACTTATCTTTTTTATTAAATTTTACAGACGTGATCTTTTACTTTTTCTCTATAATCAATAGTTTATCTATATTGTCAATCATGGTTAAAATATTATGCCTTAACTCTTTCTTTCATTTTCAAGTTTGATCTTTCCATTTTTAAATTAGATCCTACTTTATCTATGATTATCTTCCTTCTGTTAGAAATTATTACGGTTTGTTTATTAAAAAAATCTATTTTTAGTTTATTGAATGCTTTTTTACTACAAAAAAAACTAAAAAAAAAACAAAAAAAAAAAAAAAAAAAAAAAAAAATACAGAAAAAAAAACAATAGACAGAAGTAAACTTTTTAATCACAGAAACCAAGGCACAGGAGTGTAATAAAGCCATTTAAAAAATACGATATTATACTAGTGTAATCACAGGCGCGTCATTAGAAGATTACTCTTTCTAATAGTTAACCGTTCTTATTTTATATATGTGATAAATAGAATAATATAATCGTGTAGCTTCAATACTATATTTATTGAACTCGTTTAATAAAGCAATATTATTAACGCCAGAGGATCTCGTAATATGATTTTATTCAACTCGTTCGATAAATTTAGTATTTAACCTACACTCATTCAATATCCTCTATAATAATACTGCCGCTATTTAGATATTAATTTTCTGTGGGGAATTTTTCTTTTTCAGATTAAAAATGTCCTATTACCAGAATGGCTACAGTGGCAATTCCTACTATAGCGACCAATGTTTGGGAGCCGAATTCCTAATTTATGTCTTCGGAAGTGTAATAGTATTTCTTCTCGTGGTAGTATTGATCTGTATATGTTATATTTGTTGTCGTAAAGACAGCCGTCGTGATGGAATGGCTATTTATCCGATGGTACATCCGATGGCACAACCGATGCTACAACCACAACATGGTGAGTATGCTACGGAACACTTTTACGTTGTTTAAGTTCGATCTTAACAATAACAATTGCCACAACATTTAGGCCATTGTTAATATATAGCTACAGCTACGTAATGATGAGTTTAGGACTCTTTTGTAAACGATACTAGATAAAATAACTACATTATGATGGTTTATAGCTTTTCTATAGTCGGAAAACCTGATTGTGTTTTTCGTACAACATGTACAATGTAGAAAAATGACGCTTTGGATACATAACGGACATACTTGACATCAACCTTTCTTCAACTGCAGTCAAAGTCTTTATCAATCTCGTCTTTGACAAGACAAGACAAAACAATGCCATTGTTCGATGTATAAGAACAGATTCTACACGGAACGATTATTTGAGCGTGGCAATTTCTGTCTTCATGTAAATTCACTTATCATACATTGAATAGTCAACACGTTTATGTAATTTGAGTTAAATAAACTTTAAAATCGAGTTTGTTTCAAAATTGACAAGCTATTAAAAACCTTACATATTGGACGTTAACAGCAATACCTACGTACCATTATTACCCAAAAATAAAATATGTGTGATCTTCAATGCATACAGTAGTCTAATTGTGGAACTGCTTGAATATTTCAGGAAGTGTCATGTACGCACCAGGCCCGAACTGTCAACATGTTCAGTGCCCACAACAACATCACCCGCCTGCCCCTGTTTATACCAATGATCATCGTATGATAACCACGCAACCATCAAATCAAGACCGAGTTGGCGAGACTCAGCACATTTAAATAAGCACAACCGAATAATAGACGAGTCAGAAAGCATAAATGCTTTTTAGGACAATAAATCAAATAATCAAACATGACAACCTTTCGGAACTTTCAAAAGTGTGAATATTTTGATGATATAGACAGAAAATAATATACATAACTTTGATGCTTTTTATTTAAAAACCATTTTCTAGCTTTTTTATTTTGAACAGGTTTTCAAAAGAAGATTATTATATCTAATCGTATACAAATCTAATTGGAGAAATGTTTAAAATCATCTTTTGTACCCTACTCTGTAATTCAAAACATACATTGTATATCCTAAATTCAACCTAGCAATAAACTCTAAATCGAATATGCTTGTACATAAAAATACTTTTTACTTGATTTCTGAATACCATTTTTAATCAGAACATTTTTAGATTTCACCATAAGATTGTTCAGGTTTATACAGACCTAGTAATAAATAGTAGTTACCATTAAGTTACACCTTTTAAACGATCAAGGCTACAAGTATGATGTAAAAAGAAGTGCGAATCTTCACAATTACATGACGAACACTTACCTAACTACACTGAAAAGTAAAAAACACTTTTTATAGAAATATTTTTCATTATTCGATATTGATTATATTTATATTTTACATTTCTATGTTATTATTTCTGTTAAATATCTTTGTCAGTGCGTGAATAATGAGGGCACAATTTCTTAGATTGCTTTTTTTAAAGTTATTGTTTTATTAAATGTATTTTCTATTAAACTTGTATTTATGTATATTTGTTACATTAAAATAAGATAAGCAACGTTTCATGTTTGACAGTCGTCAAAGATATCACTTTTTGTTAAGAGCTGTGACATTTGATAAAAGTTTTTTATTCTATATTTTGTTCTGAGGCATGAGAAAATTAACAACAACTAAATATTATTTTAAATGAAAGCAGCAAATGATTTTGCTATTTGTAACTATGAGTGCTTTATTGTAGAAACACAAATTAGAATGGAAAAATGCAGTCTTTAAAACAAATCTTCCTTGAGCTTCCTAGGTGATTGCTTGATATATTCAATATTGTCTAAAATACCTGTGCAAAGCTTGATCAAATTATAGCTCTGGAATCAAAACAGGCCCAACCCGTTATTTTCTTTCCTGTTGTTGTTGTAAACACAATCTTTTCCTGCGAACTCACAAAAGGCAAACGCTTAAATACGTGACAAGTTACTTTGTCTAGTGGACAATGCTAAGATTCCAATATGTAAGCATTGGGGTCAAAATTTTCCCAATCTTTGTAGGGAGGATATAAATATTTTTTCTTAGATGAATTCCTTAGGAATTGTCTTCCTTACCTTTAATTACTGCAGTTTAAAAGTTTGGCATTAAACATTGTCTAGTATACAGCTACACTTTTTTTCAAATTAAAGCCTATGTCTAAATGATTGCCCCGCCGCTGGCGGTCACGCGCTATCTTGAATCAGGGTGAAGGCCCGCCAATTAACGCATTTCGAATGTTATATAAGGAAAGATTGACAATCTACTTATCTGATTCAGCAAATGGTAGAGCTTAGAAGATCAGCATCAAATATCGGTTAAATATAGATTTCTACTAAATTCGTCCGAATAATAGTCATGGCTAAAAGCTGGTACTGCCAAGGGTTAATAACCCGTTATGTGTTATATTATGTATATACTAAACCTTTTCCCACTTTACCTTCATAGGCTACTGCTTAGTCAATTGACATGAAGAATTGTCTAATGAACTTACCTTGAAACCAATGATCTTCCAAAAGTAACCAGTCAGCGATTTTCATTGCAATAATGAGTTTCCCACAACGACCAGTGTTTTTAACATGACTTGAGCACTTTTTTACATTTGAAATTCAGATTTGAACTTTGAGATCAGTAGACCTAAGGTCAGACATAAGAATCGTTTTTATTATATTAATTTTTTTGTCATTTGGAAAATTTTTGACATGTAAAGCTTTCAAAATCAGGTGTCTGAGCAATATCATAGTTAACATGAGCAATATCATAGTCATCATGACCTTCGTGTTATAATGCAAATGAATCGCAATTTTTAACTCAACTGTAAAATCAAGGAAATCGTATATTAACGATACTTGGATTGAATACAGAGGACAACAAATTGTAAATTAGATGCACAAGAACCCTATTTTTTGCAAATAAAATAGGAAGTTATATCTATAATCTCACAGAATCTTCATCATTGTTGTAATTTGCAGAAAACAATGTAGATAGAAAAAGCGGTACCAGTAAAAAAGGTTTCGTGTCATTTAATTTATTAACTTGCACATTCCATTACAGTAACTGTTGATGAACAGTCTCAACCAAACCGAGCCTGCAACATTTTCAAATTGTTGGTTCTTTATTTATCAGTATTTTATCGATACATGAATGACAACCCAATTATAAAGGGTAGTCAGGTGCAAACATTTTACTCAGACTATAAAAATACATTGTGTTAACAGTTGTAAATTATTCTTTGATTTACAGGCACTGGTTTATCTTGTGTTTTATATATGAAATATATACATAGTTTAAAATGCCTCTTTACACTATCAGTTGAAATCAAACTTTTGTCGTACAATTTCAAGTAGTAATAGATGTTTCTATAATTGTTTGATATTGAATGTTTTTATTTCTAAAAAAAAAACAAAGATAGATTGAGTTCTATTCTTTTTGTATTCAATTCTTCCGTTTTAAAACATGATAAGCGTTTTGTTAAATAATCCTGTAAACCAATATCCAATCTAATCAGTGTATTTATTTAATGTGAAAACACAAATGTTTGTTGACAGAACGATCACTGTTCTTTATACTTCATATTGATTCTTATTTTAGATAGATTAGATTAAAGAGTGTAAAGAGTAGCTCATATTTAAGTTGAAATCGTGAATTCACGCAAGTAAAACTTGCGAATTCATGAAGATTAAATCAGAAATTAATGAAATTGAAATATACCCACGGGTCTTTCGTATTAATCTCTTTAACTGCTACCGCTGCCGTTGTTTTGAAATTTGATATTGTTAAAACACACTTGTCTGACGTCTTTTTACCGATTTGTAAATGATGCACATTCTGTTTTGTTTTTCACATTGACTTTGATAAAAATATATTTACAGTAAACTTTACTTATAGCGAACACGGTTATAGCGAACTTCTGGTTATAGGGAACAATTTATTTTGGCCCGAATTTTGCCCTTCTCTATTTAATATAAAAAAATATGGTTATAGCGAACACGGTTATAAGGAATTATCGCTTAAAAGGAACTCATTTCTTAGTCCCAATCCAGTTAAAAGTACAGAAAATTACACTTTTATAACGAACTCCAAAATATTGGCTATCCGTAAATAGACTTTCGTTTTCATTGGCACGGATTAAAACTCGGCCGAATATACCGTTTATCGTTGTATGTACTTCAATACATCTATTAAAATGAATTTGTATAGTTTTCTATTTACTAGGATATTTTTAGCATGAGCTCTTTTCACCAAGATAAAACGGGTATTTATTTCGTCAATAGTTGTGCTCGAGTAAAATAATTATAATAATTTATAATCGGTTTTCATCATAATCACGCATGCTTGCAATCTGCAATGTACGCTTGATTTAAATGAAAAGAAATCTTTATCTTCCATAAGTAAAAGTCACCCATTATAAAAGAAAATATTCAAAATCTTGTTTATTAACAATCATAGAAAGAAAACGAAAAGAGTTTAGAAACAAAATATTATATTTTATGAGAAATTGACATAGGGAGTAAATCTTAAACTGGAATAGCAATTATTTAAATTCCAAAAAGTACGCTCTCGGGTATTGAATATATGACTAATATTTCTTAATCAAATGCTCTTCAAAATGGAGGACGATGGTAAACAATCAGTTCGTTAATATATGTTAATCTGTTCGCTATAAAAACTCCTGATACAGGGAACTAATTCGCTATGTGCTTACAAGGAACTCCGGATATAAGGAACAGATTTTGAATGTCCCAATTAGTTCGTTATAAGCGGAGTTTACTGTATATTTTGCTGCAACCTGCAACAATGTATCGTGTTATAATTAAATATAAATTTGTAAGCCGGATCAAAGTATTATTTCTCTTTTTGTGTCTAAATCTGTCATTTTTAAAGTATTTTTCGTGTGGTGGTGATAATCAATAAACCCTCTGTTCTATAAAAGTAATATAATTCATTCAACTTAGATAAAAGACTTAAAAGTTACTGACCGTTCCAAGGCGGTACCCCCCTGAGTATCCGTCATACGTATGTGTAGTGCAAAGTTACATGTTTTGTATCGAGATATGTTTGTGACTTCCCAATATTCTTTTCTTTTCCTGTTATTCCCATTCTATTCCCCAATCACTTTTTTCCTTACTCATTGCCATTTTTACTTTATTTAACGAATTAGCCCGTTTTGATTATTTCATCATTTCTGTTTTTTTACTGATTATGGTAACATTTTTTTATACGGCACTCTTTTTCCATCTCACCTTTGTACCCCATTTGTGGTTAGATATATGCAATTTTGATAGTATGAGTCGGGAACTACGTTCCGTGAAAGTTCCGTGAAAGTCGGTTTGCCTTGTTGTACTCTAAAAAATAATCGATTAAAATTAAGGATCAGATTGGGGATAACATTCATTTTTCCTGATTATCTTGATGCAATACTGTCTTATTATTATTTTCCAAATTTATTATTTGTTTCAAATTTATCGGGCCATATTAGTTATAATACTGTTGTTTTAGTTTGATTTTTATAGATGAGTTATTCAAAACATGTTTATATAAGAAAATATGTTTTTACTGGGGATTCGAAACATTCCTGCACATTTTGTATGTTTGTTAAAATACTCAGCGGTTGCCTGAACACCAGGACATGTTGCATTTAAAAAGGATCTATGTCACCAAAGAGTTGTCTTTACCCTTGATCCTTCTTAGGTTCTTGTTTGGTTGGGGCATGTGTTGAATGCCAAGAATAATATTTTTTTAAACAAAATGTAACGACATTCATATAACCTGATAGTATTGCCTTTATATATTTAATTATATGGCTATGTTCTGTTTCTCCGTTTTCATAATGCATTTGTTTTGGATCAATCTTATTGTTTTATATCTATTAAGGTAGCATATCTTGCTGCTACTCTACTCAATCATCCAAACATGAAAAATATTATATAAGATACTGCTAATTGTTTTAATGAACAAGTCATTTTCTTTTAGATAAATGTTAAGATAAAGAAATTAAGATAAGCAAGCATGTACCTGTAACGAAAATAGTTTGAACCATATCGTTTTGGACAAACAAAATGCAATTTATTATTTTAATTTGATTCAATGCCCAAACAGTTTTATCTTGCATGGTTAAATAATCTTGCAAAGCAAACAATTAAAGACATACATAAATAAATGTTTTTTTTAAAGTTAACCAAATTGCTAAGTGTTAAATGTGAAAAATATATCCACTCAAGTTAAAAAATTGAATTGGATTACAAAGGTATGTTAACTACTTTGAATATATTCATTTTTTATATTCATTATGTCATAAAAACGTAATAAATTAAAAGTAATATTTATTTACATTATTTTTAACAACCAAGAATTGCTCGGGGGGTGGGGTACTTCAAGCTCTTTTTGCGCTAGTAAAGCCGGAAAAATGCCGTATAACGTGACATAAAATCAAACAAATAAACAAATAAAGATTTAGCATTACTCTACAACTGACTTGACAATGTTGATAAAATGTAAATAAATGTAGAATTTAAAACATTCAAAATTGTGTCCATACGACGATTAATGGAAGGTTAAAGGTTAAATGGGCATGACTAGAATCGTCAGTGTCAAACGAAAATGTTGACAACACTTTTCGGGTATTTCATTGTTCATTTAATCAAAAGAATCATCAAGTTACAAACATCGTCCACATAACAGAAGCTTTACATGAAGCACACAAAAGTAATATTTCAAAAGATTGAGGTATGGATCAAAACTTTTAACGCAACATCTTGATTAATGCCAAATCTGCACATACAACAAAATTCATGATTAAATACACGTATCAAATAACTACTGTGTATGTGTCTTTGAAATACAGTTTAGCAGTTTTTATCGCTGAAAATGTTTTGAAAATCATAAAAGAGGGAGTTATTGTTCTCTTGAAGCGCATTCTGTCTCACTGTTATATAAAAGATATATAAGGTGTCATTTGAATATCTCTTACTTTCATATACATATTCTCTAGACCTATGGTCAGTGAAAATACATGTTACTGTTAACTTTTTCATGTATGATCTTCACAATAGTGCAAAGGTGCTGGGTGTTGCGCATGACACATTACATTAATATAGTGAATATTATTTAAACAGGCCATGTAAACCTTTTACATCATTGTGGGACCTCGATCTGTGAGACAGGGGTCTTGGTATTGTGCATTACATTTAATCTCTTTAGGGTGAACATGTGTGCTAATTTATTCTAAAGTACCTTGATAGATGAAAACGTAAGGGCCAGACATTAAATATATCATCCATTAGACAATTCCGACCTTTGACCTGCAAAGGGTCTTGAGTATGATAATCTTTTTCTGTATGAGCCTTTTCTATATCCTTCTTTCTACGAAAAATACAGGAGAAAAGAATATTAAGGGATTTGGACTGGGTCCCAGTACATGGTACAGGTCTAAAGTTATAGGTATATTATGTATGTACTTGTTGTATCAACTTTATCACATCCGATTTATAAAGACACAGTTTAGTTTAAAGCGTTTTGAATTGTTTTGAAAAATACTTCATTAAAAGAATACTTTCTTTCTAGAATAAAAATGTCCTATAGCGGCGACGGTATGTGTGAATTGCTCATCATAATCTTTGGGTGTTTTATCTTACTTCTTCTCATTATAATATTGATCACCGTATGCTGGGTTTGCTGCAAAAAGGATTATCGCCAAGATGGAATAGCTATACATCCGATGTCACAGCCGCATTATGGTAAGATATCTAACCAATAAGTATGCAATGAGATACCGGCGTTTTATGTTATGTTAGATTTAATTTTTATTTATTAAAATATTACCTCTTTCAATTACAATTATTGTTTTTTATAAATATGTTTTACAGTTTTTATCAAGACATTAAGACATAATGCAAATTTTATTCTAATTCATAAAAAACTATCCTCTTGAATTTATTGTTTTTATAGACAATTGCTACAGTTTTCATCAAGACATAAATACATAATGCAAATTGTTTCATAGCATTTCTTTAAACTATGCAGGGCATAAGAATATTACAGCGAAACATAGGGAGTCAATGCGCGTTATTAAGTATTGTCTGCCCATTGATTTTCAATCTTTTCTAATTGCGTATAAGATTTGAATATAGAATACTCACAAGAAATTTAAACAATGTCGAATTGTTCAGGACTTTGATATAGCTGAATACTTTTTATGTAAATGTGCCTAATGTCAATTAATTGTTGCTACGATCAGGTTTTTTTCTAAACCTAAATCATACAAGAAGTATCTTTAAAACAGATACTCGGCCGAGTTAGAGCTGGTGAAATCGCATATGTTAGTTTCAAGTTTTCGATACATCAATATTTAGATAACACTGACATGGTGATTTATTGTAGCTAAGAAAAAC